AAAGCCTTTTTATAGTATTCATCTAATTCCGTTTATATACCCCTTACAAGACCCTATGGATGATGACGATGTGGATGGCCTTGGGGGTCCGCAAATTTATATATGCGGACTGGCTGCATTTTCCTTTTGCGTTAAGCGGGAGGTCATCGAGGCGGCCTTCAAGAAACCTAAACACCTTAATGATGTTAACACTTTTCTACGTGGCAACGATACATCGGCTGCCCTCTTCATCATAGCGCCCAAGTCGGATGACGGTAAGTCTTTATTTTCCCATTTTTCTGTTTGTCTGTTGTAGTAAGCTCACTGCTCAAGGGGGTAGTAGTCAAACCGCTTTCTTAAACCGGTTTTGTTTTACTACAGGTGACCCGACTGCTCTGACTGCTGACCGCGTGAAGGTTTGCCTCAGCGCAAAAGCAGCCTTCAATTCCAACTGCGTTTTCTTTATGGACGTAGAAAAAGGGACCCCGATCACGTCGACCAACATGAGATCAGTAAGCAAACTACTTTTTTAAACTTAATCTGACAATACAAAGTTTTTGTTTTGAAAAACATTCGATCGCAGAATAAAGGGCTTCCTCAGATGTAATCTAATTGTCTGAATTGTGAAAAAAACTCGCGGCCACGATGGGAGTCGAACACACACAACGGGGAAGGATTTTGCCTCGCCAACGCTCTACCATTGAGCTACGAGGCTTACCGTGCGCCGTGAATTTGATCATTACGGAACAGCAAGCTGACTGCTCAGGCAGGATTTCGTGAGCAATCATCTAGAATCTATCGGAATGACTACTAGTCTTACTTAATTGTAAGGAGAGTTTGTCAGCTTTTTGCTTAATTCAGCTGACCCAGTTGTGATAAAAAAAGCAGATATGAGTGTCACCACCTCTGTGAGCAGCAACTGTTACTGACTGTTGGCATGACCACTTGAATTAAATGACAAGTGACTCAAGGCGTCTATCAGTTCTTGCCTCGCAGAAGATATGTAGATTCTGACGTGATCTGAGCTTCCCGAAGAGGTTGTGCTCTCGACTTGTGTTATTTCATTCAAGAACATACTAGACATACACCAAACATTGACCAATTCGCGTCAATCATGTAACATTACATCATATTATACTACTCGTGAGTAACGAGTGGCCATGTTTTTGTTACTGCCTCGACTACCTAACAACTGTTGGGTCTTCATACGGAACATGTCAGTGACGTACTTTTTAAATTTTTCTTTGTATCCATATATTTTCTATCATCTTGCTAACACTAGGCAGTTCAAAGGCATTCGACTATCTTACCCTCAATAAACTGATACTGATTCTACACATGGAATTGATAGGCAAGGGGCCTGAATATTGTTTTTTCTCGGTCATTTCAATGAAAAAGTTAATGTCATTAATCCTTTCCGTTAACATTTATCAATAATTGATACAGTCTACCTAAATGACACAGATGCCCAACAAGCTCTGTGTAATTATTTCGAACTCTCCGGCCAACACCCAACACGCTGAGTTTCTGTTCAGGTTTTGTTCGCGTACAGGCGCCAGGGCTTACTAGGATATCACCCCTCATACATACTTACACTCAAATCACTCTGCTCTGGTTCGCAAACATTAAAACCAACCTACTGTAAAGTTTGTCAATGTCTGACCTGATGTGCGTGTATGAGAGGCACACAGTAGTGCGTATTTGTCCCTACTGCGATCGTACATTCACTTCACGCATCGGTCTGTTCGGTCATTTGCAAACCCATCGCATAAAGGCAGACGAATCAGTGCCTGACGTATCAACAAACAACAGAGAACGCCGCCTCTATTATCCTCCTTGCCGTCGGGCATTCCCTCATCGTATGGCAATGGTCGGTTAGATGTGCGTCCATGGCAGCAAAATTCATCGCGGTGGCGACATACCTAACACATCCTGCGCACACACGTCAAAAAACTGCAGTCCCGGCCTTCTAATCGGCGTGACCATCACCAGCAACAACAAGAGCAACAGCGCCGTCACCGCAATGTGCTCTGATCCATCCTGTCCTCACTACATCCGCACATGAACATCACGCATCGGCCCGATCGGTAGCTTGCGAATTCATCACAGAGAGACTGGCGTATTAGTGCTTGGGGTCCCGATATTCGTCATCTCTTTCCACCCTGCCCGCGCACATTTCCACGCCGCCTGGGCCTGTTAAGCCACATGCACCTGCGATAGAATGCCGCCGGCTCTACCACATTGGGTAACAATCTATTATATATAACACCGCGGAAACTAAAAACACCAGAATTCAGCAGTACTGAACCCGTGGTAATAGGCGTTATACGGGTAACGTCCGCTACCTTTATCTGATATTGTCCCCAACCATGGGCTCTAAGCTGAAGCGGGAAGCATAGTTATCGTTTCAAGGACTTCCTCGATCTCTATGGCTGTTCATACTCATTACCTACTGTTATACTTATATACAAGAATTCGAATATGTCATTGGGGACATTATAGTAACACGTTGATTGTGCGTTGAATATCGCGCGTACCGTTTTAATAGGGTTTTCTGAAGTATTTAATGTTACCTTTTACTATACTAAACTAACTTAATCTCGCTGGTTCTAACATATTCAACCAGTCTTTATAAATGCTGTGCCGTGGAAAGATTGCCAGGCGTTAATTTCAAACTCTCTGTCGGCAAAAAGAAGTCCGAAAGTCCACCTAACAAGATTCTTAGTTCCATTGTGCAGCTGCTTGGTTCACTTGTTAACCGTATCGGAAAGCAACTTTTAGTCATCTTATGCGCCGGTCTTAGCTTTTACTACTGCTAACTCACCGCTTGCTACAACTATTAGAGGTAAAATCAGTAAAAATGGAAATATGTTGTCCTTTTTTATGTTTACATAATTTTTTTCATTACAGAGGATCTGCATGCGACGGATGCATCATTCCACGCCAATCTTTTCTCTCATCCGGAGCTTTTTCCTACCCGCTATTAAGAATCAGACCGGCAATCTGAAGGAGCTGGACTCGCTGAGCAAGAAAGAGTACATCACTGCCTTGATTGAATACGGGATGAATCTTGATGGTAATTCATGTGTTGTGATTAAGCGAATGTTAACAATGCCTTCCTTCTGCCATCAGATTGGTCCCTTGGTCGCAGCCATGGAGATGAGCCGGCGTAGTCTGGGACTACATCTGTCTGGCTCAGTTTTCATTATTAGGCCATTGTACCGGTCTAAATAGTGAGTGTATTCAGACCCCTACAAACTGTTGACTGCCCGACGTGAACTAACGACTTATTTATCTTCTGATGGCAGACAACCCAATTTGTAGCGGTCTAAGAAGTGAATTTACTCGGATCACTACAATCATCAGGCAGAATCCCAGGTTGGAGGGAAAAGTCGAAAGTCACCATAATGAGGGGTTTATTATATACAGGACTCCCAGTTGCATTCTCAGGGGGCAGTGGCTACTGGCGAAGACAGGGTTGGTCCTGACTACGTCCAGCCGGGCCTGAGAGCGTCGACTGAGTTTTGTGTGGGGTGATGACAGTTGCTTTAGTGGGATTGTAAAGCGAGTTCAAGTGTTCTATCATTGGTGTGTTGCAATTGCCCGAGCGCATGTTGCCTGTAGAGGGCTTTTATGCATCGGTCGAGGGGTGTCTTAGTCAAGTGGTCCTTGGGCAGGCGCGCTTATTTGGACGTGCGTGTATACGCACGTATGTACGTAAGTGAATAAGTTGAGGTCAACTGTCGGGTCTACAGGAACGCCAAAGGAGGGGGGACGCTGGCGCAGCTGTTATCGGTTAGCCAGAAGCAGCTGCGAGGTCAA